TATGCTTCAAAACAACCCAGTACAGGCTGGGCATGTAGCTAAGATGGCAGAGCGCTCCCCTAACATGCAGGAAGGCCTGGATGTGATGCCCTGTGCCACATAAACCAGGCGTGCAGACACCCGCCTCTGAGGTCAAAGCTCAAGGTCATGCTCAGCTGCATAGCAAGACTGAGGCCAACTCGGACTGCATGAGACCATGTCTCCAAAAAAAAAAAAAAAACCCACAAGAATAAACCCAGACTAAACAGAGCATAAAGCACCCAGCGCATGTGTGTTGTGCTTCGCTCTCCCCTCTCAGGATAAGAAAGTTGGACATAGGTAGTATTAAGTGACGCACTCAGGATCCCATACACAGAAAGTGGCAGTGTTGGTATTTGGAGATAGATCTGTTCTCTGAAAATTGTCACTGAACTTTACTCTCCACTAAGTAAGGTGTTGTGTATATCTTAACAGTATTAGAGTCATTAACAGTTTTTGCATCTTATCATTTAAAAATGTTTGTGTATATGGGTGTTTTACATGCATGTGTATTTGTATACCTCCTGCGTGTCTGGTGCCCACAGAGGCCAGAAAAGGGCATTGGATCCCCTGGCACTGGAGCTGTGGTCTGTTGTGAGCCGCCACGTGGGTAGTAGGAATCAAACCCGGGTCCTCTGCAAGAGCAGCCAGTGCTCTTAGCCACTGAGCCATCTCAGCCCCAGTAGTATTAAAATCATTAAAATTGGAACTGGAAAGGTGGCTCAGAGGCTAAGATCTTACTACAGTTAAGAGTTACTGACCTTGGGGCTGGAGAGATGGCTTAGTGGTTAAGTGCACTGACCCTGGTTCAATTCCCAGCACCCACATGGCAGCTCATAATTGTCTGTAGCTCAAGATCCAGGGACTCTGACTTCCTCACAAGCATACAAGCAAAACACCAATGCACAGAAAATAAAAATAAATAACTATTAAAAAAAAAAAAGACCTACTGCTCTTTCAGAGGTCTCAGGCTCAGTTTCCAACATCCACGACAGATCACAGTCATCAGAAACTGCAGTTTCAGGGGGTCTGACACCCTCTTCCGGTCCTCACAGTCACCAGTCAACACATGGTGCATGTACATAACATAATGCAAGCAACCGTTCATACACATAAACTAACAATAAATAAATCTTCAAAATGGTTGAAATTAAAGGTTTTTCTTCAGATAGTACTCATTTTTGCCTTGTATTATTAATACAGCATAACATGTTAATATGCTCTTTTTAATATGCATAAAAATTCCTATATAATCTGTGCATATGATAGTGTGCAGTCATGCCAACTGCAAACCCGGTGAATGCTAACTAGGAAGCAGTGTCCTCACACACAGTGCACACAGTTTCGGTTACAGCTCCTCAGAACCAATAGTGCTATTTCCCAAGAGCTCAGGCTGCCAGCATCTAGCAGTTCTGCTTCACACTTCGGGAAAATGGTCGCACCTTTTTCCCTCCAACATTGACACATGGATCTAGGCGGCAACATTCCGCAAGGGGAAGAATGAAACCGGAGGCCCCAGCAGGCTGCAATTGTGCTGGCAACAGCTTGAGAGCAACAGGTTGTAAACGATCTCGTTTTCTTCTAAGTACCCTTGCAGGGAAAGTAAATAACCCCTGCTTTAGAGACGCGTGCTCTGGTAACAAAGCCGAGTGAGCCGGCGAGGTGGCAGGAGATGGAAATTTTTCGGTAGTGTTTCCACAAAACTTGACGGCTCAGGAAAGTAGTGCGTGGAGGAATGGACAGGTGCCCATGATTTTATCCTTTAGTTTGTTGGTGACTTTAAAAGTAATTTAAAAAGTTATGAGTAACTGGCTGGAGGCAATTGAATCGCAAGCTAGGTCAGCAAAAATGAAAATTAAGTCAAACCATGGTGATCCGTGTCTTTAATCTTAGCACTCTGGTGTCAGAGGCAGGTGGATCTCTGAGAGTTTTTGGTCAGCCTGGTCTACCTAGTGAATCCTGGGCAAGTCAGGGCTACTCAGTGAGACCCTGTCTCAAATAGAATAATAAAAAATAAAATTTAAGGCTAAAAACAGCAAAACATCTGTGGCTAGCAAGATGGTTCAGTGGGTAGAGGTGTTCAGTCACAAGTCTGATGACGTAAGTTCAGTATCCAAGATCCATATAGTAGAAGCAGGAATTTAGCACCAGCAAGTTGTCTCTGGATCCTCCATAGATGCATCACAGTGTGTGTGTGTGTGTGTGTGTGTGTGTGTGTACATACACACGTGTGCGCGTGCACAGTGGCTAGGAGAGGGTGCTGGGTCTGGAATGACAGGGTGTGAGCCACCAATTATAGATGATACAACCGAACTCAGGTCCTCTGCAAGAGAAGCAAGCAGTCTTAACCTCTGAGCCATTTCGCTGGCCTCTTTCCATGCTCTAAATTCCCTTCAGTGAACTGTCTGCCACTATGCCGGAGCCACACCATGCTGGTGGCTGTAGGGCGGTAGTGAACTGTCTGCCATTACGCCAGAACCACGCCATGCTGGTGGCTGTAGGGCGGGTAGTGAACTGTCTGCCACTACGCCGGAGCCACGCCAGGCTGGTGGCTGTAGGGCGGTAGTGAGTTTTGAAACTGAGAAGCGGGCAGTGTGCACCCTTAAGCTTTAGTCTACTTCATCCCGACGATTTTGTCTCTTCTACTTTTTTCTACTATTTTGTCGATTCTTGCAGTATTAATTTCAGAATCAGCTTGTCACTTTTTACAATAACAAAAGAAGCTGGCTGGGGTCTCTGGTGCAGCTGAGGGTGGACTCAAGGTCTGGGACATGCTAGGCAAGTGACCAATCGTCACCTAGAGTGCAGTCACCTAACACCATTGAGTCTTCCAAGTGCCGAGTAAGGGAATCTTTCCCTTAATTTAATGTCAACATTATTTTATAGTTTTTAGAGCTTAAGCCTTTTTTGTTAAAATTATTCCTAAGTATTTATTGAATTTGATGCTACTAGAAATAAAATTATTGGGCTGGTGAGATGGCTCCGCAGATAAATGTCAAACCCACATGGTGTCCTCTTTTTTTCACATGTGCCCTGTGCCACACATGTACCCATACATTACACACACACACACACACACACACACACACACATGCTCATGCATACATTTAAAAAAGAAATGGAATTATTTTCTCTTTTTTTTCTTTGTTTTTGTTTTTGGAGACAGGGTTTCTCTGCGGAATCCTAGCTGTCCTGGAACTCGCTATGTAGACCAGGCTGACGTCAAACTCAAAGATCCACCTGCCTCTTCCTCCCCAGTGCTGGTATTAAAGGCGTACTCAACCATGGTCCAGGAGAGTTATTTTTTTAATCTTCTTTGTGTTCATTGTATAAAAATACAATTGATTGTCATATATTGAACCTTTTATTTTATGTGAGTGTTTTGCCTTTGTGTGTGTGTGTGTGTGCACCATGTGTGTGCAGTGCCTGCTATGGTTACAAGCTGCCATGTGGGTGCTGGGGAGCAAACCTGGGTCCTCTGCAAGAGCAGTCACTGCTCTTAACTGCTGAACCATCTCTCCAGCTCGAATTTTTTCCATATTGATACATATTGATATCATACCCTGAAATATCAATGAAACTTTTTATCAGTTCTAATTGGGTTTAGTGAATTTCTTAGAATTCTTTCCTTTCCTTTCTTTTTATTCTTTCTTTTTTTTTAAACAAGGTCTCATTATGTAGCTCTGGCTGACCTGAAACCAGTTGTGCAGACCAGGCTGGCCCTGAACTTAGAGGTCCACCTGCCTCTGTTTCTGCCTCCTGGGTTCTGTAATTAAAGGCATGTATACCAAATTTAAAAATTAATTAAAAAAAAGAAATTTACTAGGGCATAAGTCACATATTTGAGTTTCTCATTGAAGTACTCATTCAGCCAAGCTTAGTTTTAAATTTTTGTAGATTCTATCTTCATGGTTTGGGAAGTACTCTTTTGTTTATTGAAACAGCATCTCGCTATCTAGCCCTGGCTAGCTCAGAACTTGCAATGTGGGCACAGATTGGTCTGGAACTTACGGTAGTATCACTGCTTCCTGACCACAGAGAAACAGGTGTGTACCACCAAGCTTGGGTAGCTCCTACCCTTAAAACAGACTGACACAGATCTCCCAGGGTGAGGAAGTGGTTGACCTACTGTGTGATCCTCAGGGTGGAAAGAGACATATAGTCCCCATGGTATGGACAGTGTAACATCATCAGGGCAGGACGAAGTGCCACAGACAAGGTGGCTTAAAAGCAATAGAAATTCGGGACTGGAAAGATGGCTCAGGGGCTGAGTGCTCGCCCCTCTCCTCTCCTAGCAGAGGACCAGAGTTTGGTTCCTGCACCCACACATCAGGTGGGCTCACAACCACCTGGGACTCCAGCTCCTAAGGACTCCACGCCCTCTTCTGGTCAACACAGGTACCTGAACTCACATGTGTGTACACAGAGAGGTACACATGCATGGTCATAGTTTTAAAAAGTAAGTCTTTAAACAAATTATTTATTAGTTTATTCTATTTTGATGCTAAAGACCAAGTCCAGGGCCGAGAATGTGCTTACACAACAAAGTTTTAACCTCTGCTAGCATCTACAGTCAGTGCCGTCCGCGTCATATGCTCCCCGTGACAGCTGCCAGGCTGGCTCCCAGTGTAGTCAGAGCTTCATCTCCCTGTGACAGCTGTCGGGTTGACTCCTTTGGGCTCTTCCTACATTCTGACACATTTTGTTTCCTGACCATGAGGAAACAGGTGTGAATGGTACCACTCTGTGTTCAGCTCCAAGCTGTCATGGTGCCGTGATGGACATATTGGATTGGAAGGCACCCTACTCCAGCATGACCTCATTTCTAATAAGGTCCCCAAGGTTGGGACTTCAGCATCCTTCCCGATGGGACATCACACAACCCACAAACTCATGCTCCTCTCCAGCTTTCACGAGTGGCATAAACAATTATCTTTTGTGTTGACCACAGTCTTTGCATCACTTCCTGTTCTCTTCTCTAGATTGAGGACATGTTTAATGAGATCAAGTTTAGCGAATATGTGGACACTGGGAAGCTGATCGACAAAATCAACTTGCCGGATTTCTTCAAGGTTTATCTTAATCATAGGCCGCCTTTCGGTAACACCATGGCCGGCATCCAGGAGAGCTTTAACGTGCTGGGTTTCACCAATTCCCAAGGGAAAAAGGCTATTCGGAGAGAGGACTTCCTGAACTTGCTCCTCACTAAAGGTAACAACACACAAGCAAGGACATGTGGTAACATCCTTGAGCCATTCCCAGCAGAGGAGGCCTCGTTAGGGCAGGCAGACACATGGGGTCCCCATCTGTCATGACGAACAGCCATAGGACAGGGCCACCTTGTAGTGTCTTGCATATCTGACAAGTGTGGGTTAATGAGAAGGTCCCTGACCTAGAAATGAGGACCATGTGACTCATGGGCCAGCAAGATGACACAGTGGGTAAAGGTATTTGCCACAGAGCCCGATGACCTGAGTTCAACTCCCAGAACTCACATGGTGGAAAACGTTGTACTCTGACCTCCAAGCACAGGCCATGGCACGTGCCCCCCTCTCCACCCACAAAATAAATAAATAAAAATGCAAAGAAATACTTAAAGAAAAGCATGCTTCACTCTTAACTTTCCAAGACTTCCAGTCTCAGCATGCTCACATGTGCTCTTTTGTTGTTCTGTAGGCCAGGCTAGCCTTGAGTTGTTTTGTAGCCCAGGGTAGCCTCTCCATCCTCCTGCCTCAACCGCCATAGTCCTGGGATTCGAGACATATACCACCACACCCAGTTTGACTTGTAAAATGGGGATGTATTTGCCAGTTTATCACTCTCCTTGGGCTAGAATGGGTTTGGGATGTCAAACTACACTACAGTGAACGTCTATTTCTACCTACTGTGTGAGGGCCATCTTGTACTGTTGCACATCTGACAAATGGGACTTTTTATCGCAGCCAACCTAGGATGGCTCTGAGCAGAGGAAGTTTGAAATAAGGCAGAGCCCAGCCTTCATTGCCTTGCCTCTTCCTACAAGCCCCAGCATCTCTGAGCCCTGCAGAGCCCTGCAATGCCATATAAGGGTGTATTGTGACAGAATAGGACTCTTTCTATCTAAAGAAATGGCAGAGTACATCTCTTTAAGCTGTCTGGGCCAGCGAGATGACTCAGCGGTAATGTGCTGACTGCTAAGACTAGGGACCCAAATTCAATCTCTAAGACCCAGAGTGGCAGGAGAGAACCGAAACTGCCTTCTGACTTCCAAACATGCACCATGTCAGTATACACAGCATGCGTGTGCACACACACAAATAAATAAACAAATGTAAAATTAAAAAAAAAGATCTCTAACCAGAGAGGTGGCGCACAACTGAAATCACAGCACTTGGGAAGCAGAGGCGGGGAAGATGGAAAGGGCCCAAAGCGTAGCTCATTTGTAGAGTGCCTGCCTAGCATGCTCAAAGCCTGGGTTGGATCTCCAGTACCATATAAACCAGGTCTGGTGGCCCCGATCTGGAATCCCAGCACTTGGGAGGTGGAGGCAAGATCAGGAGTTCAAAGATGACCTTAGATTTATGGAGAGCTTGAGGCCAGGCCAAGGAGACCCGGGATACAAGAGGCCCAAATAGAGGAGACCTAGCCTCACAACGACAAACAAAAGAATCTCATAGTTCTCAACCCTGATGTGAGATGAAGCCCCAGGGTTAACTAGACTCCTTTGATCCCCCCATGCCCAGGCGAGCACATGACAGAGGAGGAGATGTATGACTGCTTTGCGACGCTGTTTGGTCTGAATCCTGAGGGGTGGAAATCCGAACCTGCAGCCACCTCCACCAGAGGTACTTGGCCTTTGTCTGGGCTTGTAGCCACCACTCACTAATTTGTTATAGACTTAAGGGCATTTGTTCCTCCCGACTGGTACGAGCACTCTCCTTAAGACCCTGCACACAACAGTTAGTCTGCTGGGAATCCCGTGACTAGGCGATGGCAGAGCAAGTGAGCCTTGGCGGTGTCTGCTGGATGGGAGCATTCACTCCTCTCTGCTTGCCTGTGGTGTCTTCCGGCCTTGTTCCTTCCTCTCTCTCTCCCTCTCTCTCCCTCTCTCCGACAGGGTTTCCCTCTGTGTAGCCCTTGCTGTCCTTGAACTCACTAAGTTGTCTACACTGGCCTTGAACTCAGAGACTGGCCTGCCCGGCCTCCCTCCCGAGTGCTGGGATTAAAGGTGTGGCTAAAAGTGTGCGCCACCACCGCCCAGCCCTTTCCTTTCTTTATTACACTGGGTTCATCTTTCTGGCTTGGGTGGATGAACATAAGCCACCCCTGGAGGGTAGATGTGGAGAGGGTGACAACTGGGTAGGTTGTACAAACTCAGCTCCAAGCTACTAGGACTTTAAAACTCTCTCCATTTCTCTTTGGTTTTTTTTTTAATTTATTACTTTTATTTTATGTGCATTGGTGTCTTGCCGGCATGTGTGTCTGTGTGAGGATGTCAGATCCCCTGGAGCTGGGAATTGAACCCAGGTCCTTTGGTGCTCTTAACCACTGAGCCATCTCTCCAGCCCCTCTATTTCTTTCCTCTCTTTCTCTAGTGTTTGGTTTTCTTTCTTTTTCTTTTTCTTTTTTCTTTTTTCTGAGCTAGAGTCTTATTATGTAGCCTTGGTTGGCCTGGAACTCACTATGTAGCCAAAGCTGGCTTCAAACTCAAAGAACCACCTGCCGCCACCCGAGTGCTGTAAAGGGATGTGTAGGCATGCCTGGCTTTCTTGTTTTTTAATTTGTGAGTGGTCTCTTTATGTAGCCTGGGCTAGCCTTGGACTCCTGATCCTCCTGTCTTCGCCTTCTAAGTGCCAGGATTACAGGTGTGCACCACCATGTCTGGCTCTAAGTTCTTTTTCTTAAACATTTTCTTTTACGTCTTTTTATATTCTCTCTTTGTGTGTGTGTGCATTTGTGTCTGTGGTTGGGGGGTGCACGTGCATGTGTTCATGTTCTCTCCTTCCACCATGATAGAATCCAGGCCTTCAGACTTGGTGACAAGGAATTTCACCCACCCATCTAGTTCTTTTTCTTGCATGTATACATGTATCTGATGTGTAGGTGTGTGCTCTTGTTTGCATGTGTGTGAATAGTTTTGCATGCATATGTGTCTGTTTATGAGTGTGGAGGCCGGAAGTGAACACCATGTATCTTCCTTGATCATTTTCTACTATTTTCATGAAGACAGGGGTTCTTACAACTCAGCCATCCCCCAAATCCCCGTCTGTCTGCCTGGCGCTAGCTGTAAGAGGTCTCTCCATTGATGGGCGTCTGCATGGGTTCTGGGAAACTGAGCTCGATCCTCACTTGTATGGAGAGCACTTTATCCTTCATGTTGGCTCCCCATCAGCTCCGAGTTCCCCAAGGTCATGCCAGCCTTGGGGTGTGCTTGATGGTAGAGGTTTTCTCACATGCCCGAAGCCCTGGATTCCGCCCCCAGCATCAAATGAATGAAAACTCCTCTTCCTCTTCTGGCTGTACCCCAAGAATGTCCCGCATCTGCCTCTTCTCAGCAGTTGACACTCCCAGGTGTCCCTGGTGTGAGTGTAGTCTCAGGAAGAGCCAATTCACACCGCTCTTCCAGGCCCTCCCGGGCTGGCGAAGTCTACCCACAAGCCCAGGGTAGTTGGCGGTCAGTCCACAGCTCCTGAGACTACGGACGGACGCAGACTCCTGGCCTGTCTCCCTGCCACCACTTTCTTTTATTGTCTAACTAGGTTTGCCAGGACCTTGGTTAACAGGGTTCTCCTCCTCAGTGAACTGGTTCCAAGAGTCAAAAGTGACCCTTAGCCCAAAATACTGTCTACTTCACCCCGCTTTTTCTTTCTTTTCAAGGGTTTTATTTTATGGGTGTGGGTGTTTTCGAGGGTTTTATTTTATGGGTGTGGGTGTTTTGTTGTCTGTATGACTGACGCCCAGGGAGGCCAAGAGAGTGCAGGATCCCCTGGGACTGGAGTTACAGATGGTTTTGAGCCACTGTGTGGATACCGGGAATCCACCCCGGGGTCCTCTGGACGAGCAGTCAGTGCTGTTAACGGCCCAGCCGCCTCTCCAGCCCGCCTCCCACTTTGGCTTAGCGTCATCCCCTTGGGTTTTAGAACTCCCTCTTGTTAGGGGCTTTTTCCCTGAAAAAGGCATTTGATCTTCTTTTCTTGCCTGTCTAGAGTCAGAAATCTGCCTAGAAGAAGAACTTCCAGACGAAATCACCGCAGAAATATTCGCAACTGAAATTCTTGGCTTAGCCATTTCCGACAGTTCCGGACAGTTGGATCAGTGAAGTCCCTGGGAATGCTGGCAGCACAAAGCACTCCGTGTGCTTGCACACGCATGTGTGCCTTTTCCAAGGGGTGTTCCTTTTCTGTACACGCCTGCCCCACCCTAATCTTCAGAGCACTTAGACATTAAAAGCCACTTTCTCTTAGACAATGGAATTCACAAAGCTGGGCACTGCACTGTCTGTGAAAGAGCAGAGCGGATGAAGGTGAGAACAGCCTGGATCCCTAGGCCTGACTGGTGGGGGGGTCTCGGCCAGTGCAGGCCTTCCTCATGGCATGCACGCTTCCTGGAAGTCTTAGCCACTCACACCCTTCCTTTGGAGTGCTGTCTGTACTGCTGGCTCTGTGGCTGGGAGGAGGAGCTCTGGGCTCCTGGGAGTAGCAGACTATTTTCTTTCTCAGCAGAATACCCAGGCAGTTGTGCGTGGCCGTTCCAACGAGCATCACTGGCCATGCTTAACTCTGGTGGCAACTGCCAAAAAAAAAAAAAAAAAAGCAGAAGCAACGTGAGTGAGTCCCACAGACTGCACCTGGGCCAGAAGCCCCAGAGCCCTGCTCCATCATGATATAACTGACAAGCATTGCTTCACCACCTCACCCTCTGCTGGGCTGCAGGGCACTCGATGGGCAGGAACAGGGGCACTAAGGACATCTCTGTGTTTACAGTGATGTTTTGTTTCCGCATGCTGGCATAATAAGGGAGCGTTATGGCCTGCTCTTCGAGTTTTCCCTCAGTTCAAAGGTCAAGTTCCAGCAAGTGTCCCCATGTTACCTTCCCCCACTGTGTCTGCCTACCCCACCAGGGCCTTCTCCTTAGATGTCAGCATTAAGAGACATTTCTCTTTGAGGGGCGGTAAAATATTTTTAAATTCTTTATTCTTATTTTATGTATGCTGGTGTTTTGCCTACATGTATGTCTGTGTGAGGGTGTCAGATCCCCTGGCACTGGAGCTACAGACAGTTGTGAGCTGCCCTGTGGAAGCTAAAAATCGAACCCAGGTCCTCTGGAAGAAAAGATAGTGTGTTTAACCACTGAGCCATCTCTCCAGCCCTGAGGGACATTTCTGATCCTTTTAGAGCCTTTTTCCTACGGAGCAGGAGAGACCCAGCATCACACTGCATCTCTGCTCATGCACCAAGCCCTCCTCAGGGTGCAGCTGCAGGTCTGCCACACTGAGATTCTTGGGAATAGTCTGGAATGAGGAACAGAACCATCTCCCCAAACCAGGCTGTGCCATGGCGACCTTGGGGCAGACAGCAGGAGTCAAGGTTCTGCAGGCACCTGATTGTCAGAGCGTGTCACTAGGGCTTTGCAACCTGGTTTATGTTTTGTTCTTTTAAAAAAATGGAAAAGAAACACAAGCTTTATGAATCGATTTTGTAACTGCTCAGGGCCTAGGAGATATATTACCAGGCTAGTTAAAAAGTTCCTGGGGACATTTTAGGGAACAGGAAACTGGCAAATAACTTGTTCTCATAAAAACAAAAATCTGGAATTGAGTACAGCCTGGACACCAGGCAGGACTTTCCTTTATCCAATCTGACACCTTTAAATTTTGCAGTTCCTGACTATAGATATTGCAATCGTTGTCATGAGCAAAACTGTCAGTGCCACTTGAACCCACCAGGGCTGGTGTCACCGTCAGAGGCAAGTTTGGATGATCTCACCATGCTCACCCAGCCATAGAGAAGGAAAGCCAAGGGCCTAACTGGACAGTCCTCCAGGAAGACCAAAGAAGCCAGGGACAGCAACGTTAGTCACAGTGCCCCACTCTTCCCATCCCAGCATGGTCAGGGGACCCTTCCACCTGGGACCCTTCCAGCAGGTGACTTGAATGCGTTGTCTCTCAGTATATTTGACCAAGGCAGAGCCAGTGAGCAGCTTCAGGACAACTGAGCAAAGGAGAGGACAGGCCAGCATTGTCACCCGAGCTCACTGGTCCTGGAGACAGGACAGTGCAGAGAGGCTCACAGATCACAGAGTATTGAGATCAAAGAACAGAAACTTGAGCACTGAAAACCTTACTGGAAATATTCTCTTGAAAAATGAGGCTTCTGGCTAGGAGGCTGTGTGTTACTGTGAGACTGTGAACTCACGGACCAGTAGTGAGCGGTCTGCCAGAGGCACCTCTCCTCCCCAGTGCCCACCCCTCCTCTCCATCCGGCCACCCATCCCCAGCCAGCTCTGAGAACTGAGATTGGGTCCCTGGTCTGCTTCTGACGTCTTGTAGCCCTTGTGACACCTGTGAGCCCTTGGGTGTGACTAAGCCCTTAGTTTTGTCCTGGAATAGCTCCTGGGGAGGTGGTGAGGACTGAAGAAGACAGAGCATTCCTGGCACAGGGTACCGTTCCCAGTACGACAGCAACTATTATTATCACAGGCAGAGACTGTACCGGAGAACTCAGAAGTTGCCTGACAAGAATTAACTTCTCCTGGGACTATGGTTTGAACATCACAATGTACCCACTCAGCAGGGGTCTCTCTTAGGTTTGAGCCTGGGTCCCCAGGATTTGTAGACCCAGAAACTTCTGTTTCTTTATTGATGGATTTAGGTAGATGCTGATGCAGATGAGGATGGCTTCTAACTTCTCATATAGCTGAGGGTGACCTTGAACTGATCCTGCTGCCTGTGTGTCACATGTCACTACTTCTGGGGAGATATGAACAGACATCTCCTCTAGCGGGAATTCTAATTTCTCTTAATAATAAAAACCCGGAGTCAGATATGGGGTTAATGTGGAAAGATTAGAGAAGCAAGTCAGTCAGTCTCTGGAGAGTTCTTACCTCTACCAATGCTCAGACCGAAGGGGTGATCCTGTCTCTACAGATCCTCTGGCTGGTGCTCTCTCTGTGAAACCTACACTGCCTCTCAGACTGAATACTCAGACTGCATCTGAGCTCGTCTCCTCCTGCCTCATATTCCTCTCTCTGCCCAGCCATATCACTCCTGTCTCCTCCTCCCTAGTGCTGTTGGGATTAAAGGCATAGGGTCCCAAGTGCTGGGGAGGGAAGGGCCTAGTGAATCTGATCAGTTTCAGAGACTTGCTAAACCCTTTGGGTTGTTTTCTTCCTGAGCCTGCAGAGCCCCTCTGCAGGACTGATGGAAAGTTTCACCTCCCTTTGGAAATCCCATGTCTTAGTGAACTTTCCTTCAAGATGGAAGGTTTTATGTTGGTGAAAATTACTATACAACACTTCCAAGTGCTGGGATTACAGTCACGTGCCACCATCCACACCTAATTCTTCTAGTGTAGGAGGTCCTTCTGTTCATGTGTTGCTTTCATTGGCTAATGAATAAAGAAACTGCTTTGGGCCTGATAAGGCAGAACTTAGGTAGGCGGAGTGGACAGAACTGAATGCTGGGAAGAAAGCAGAGTGAGAGACGCCATGGATCTCCTGCCTGAGACAAACAATGGTTAGAATCTTGCTGGTAAGCCACAGACATGTGGTGATACACAGATTAACAGAAATGGGTTAAAATAATATGTAAGAATTAGCCATTAAGAAACTAGAGTTAGGGGCTGGAGAGATGGCTCAGTGGTTAAGAGCATTACATGCTCTTCCAAAGATCCTGAGTTCAATTCCCAGCAACCACATGGTGGCTCACAACCATCTGTAATGAGGTCTGGTGCCCTCTTCTGGCCTGCAGGCATACATGTAGACAGAATATTGTATACATAATAAATTAATAATTTTTTTAAAAAAAAGAACTAGAACTAATGGGCCAAGTGGTAATTTAATAAATACAGTTTCTGTGTGGTTATTTTGGGTGTAAACTAGCCGGGCAGCCAGGATGGAACAAAGAGCCCCCGCTCTCCACAAAGGGCCACCCTCCTCGTGCAACATTCTTCTTTGGATTTGAAGTGAATGCCACATCCTCCCAACCCTCCATATCAAGGCTGGCAAATTCTTCAATGGGACCCAAGGTAAGTAGCACTTCAAGGCCAGTGGTCTTGATCTCAGTTCCACAGAACTTACAGTGTAGGGCAAACGTCAACATAGACAATGTAGGAAAGAGTGGCCATGCCAGTGAAGCAATACAGCTGGTGACGGTCACAGAAATCTGGACTCTAACGCCTACGTGTGACATCATTCTCTTCTTAATGTTTTTCAACATTTTGAAAATGAAAAGAAATATTTCTTAGCTTGCAGACTGAACAAAAGCAGAAGTAGCCTTGGTTTGCCCACAGACTGCAGTCTTCTGACTTTGCTTTGCCTCATAGGCCAAGTCCCTCACCCTACCAGATTATCACAACTGTACTGAATCTATACAAAGGACTGACTCTGCCTGGCATGGTGCTGCAAGCCTATAATTGTAGTATTAGGAGGTAGAGGCAGGATGAGGAGTCCAAGGTCATCCTTGGCTACACAGGGAGTTTAAGGCTAGCCTAGGCTACACAAGACCCTGTCTTTAAAATAGTAATGATGGCCTTTCCGCGCTGCCCTGGGACGGGTCCATACGGCGTTGTTCTTGGTTCCCGACGTAACTTAAAAGGGAAACTTACACAATGTCCGGAGCCCTTGATGTCCTGCAGATGAAGGAGGAGGATGTCCTCAAATTCCTCGCTGCAGGAACCCACTTAGGTGGCACCAGCCTCGACTTTCAGATGGAGCAGTACATCTACAAAAGGAAAAGCGATGGCATCTATATCATCAATCTGAAGAGGACCTGGGAGAAGCTGTTGCTTGCAGCCCGGGCTATTGTTGCCATTGAGAATCCTGCTGATGTCAGCGTCATCTCCTCCAGGAGCACTGGGCAGCGAGCGGTGCTGAAGTTTGCTGCCGCCACTGGAGCCACTCCCATCGCCGGCCACTTCACCCCAGGGACCTTCACTAACCGGATCCAGGCAGCCTTCAGGGAGCCACGGCTTCTGGTGGTGACCGATCCCAGGGCTGACCACCAGCCCCTCACAGAGGCGTCTTACGTGAACCTGCCCACCATTGCCCTGTGTAACACAGACTCACCTCTGCACTACGTGGACATTGCCATCCCCTGCAACAACAAGGGAGCTCACTCAGTGGGCCTGATGTGGTGGATGCTGGCCCGGGAAGTACTCCGCATGCGTGGCACTATCTCCCGGGAGCACCCATGGGAGGTTATGCCTGATCTTTACTTCTACAGAGACCCAGAGGAGATTGAGAAGG